AAATTGTGGGATAAAGCATCAAGGGGCAACCAGCATGAAGGAGCAGGGAGGCGGAAGGCGGAGATGAGGGGAGAGGCAGCTTGTTGAGGCAGAGGGGAAGATGAGGCCGAGGGGAGAGGCGGCTTGTTGAGGCAGAGGGGAGGGTAGGATGAAGGCAGCTGGCTGAGCTGGGAGGCGGAGAGCAGAGAGCTGCGGGCCCGAGGGGTAGGGGAGGCGCAAATGGCAAGATGAAGGCGGGTGAGGGCGGAGAAAAGGGAGTTGCGGGCCGGAGGGGAAGGGGACATCAGACTGGAAATGGATGGTGGATAGCACCGCCCTCCTCCCTTCTCCCTCACACTGGTCGGGCCCTAACACTTCCCCCCACCATTCTCCGCTCCACCCCTCTCCCCTCCACCTTCCTCCTTCCCCCTCGCCTCACCCCATTGGTTATGTAATTGGTTCAATTTCGTTGTCAGTTCGATTACGTAATCCATTCGATTACTCGATTACATAATCAATCCGATTATATAATCAAATTTCCCGACCGGGCCTTCGAGCAGATATACAAGCACAAGTTTGGTGCCCATGCACCCAAAGAGAAGGACCCTAGGGAACTGCATTGCTATTTCTCAATATCATCAAATGCACAGTAGTCGTCAATGCCATTGCTGATCAGTATTTGTCCATGTTTACCAAAAACGTGTTTTCTCGAGCCCATCATGGTGACGTGTACTCAGAATTTTTCAAAGATAGGTTGTTCCTGATCTCAATTATGACACGCTTCTCCTATTCCATCAGACAATGATGACAAGCTTCTCCTATTCCATCAGAACAGGTTTTTTTTAACTTTTTTGGACTCCTTCAACACACGTGTATTACAAGCTGTATTGCATTTTCACAAGATGCAGTTTTTTTTTGTTTTGTTTTGTTTTTCCCCAAAAAAAAGATGCAGTTTTTCAGAAAACAACTTTACCATTTCGCAAACTGGACCGTTTCTTTTATCCAGTTTTCACAAACACCTTGTTCCCTCCCGATGGCCGCATTGGTCACACCTGCAATTGTTCTCCTTAACCGGCTGCAGAGAACACAGCTGCAATTCTGCATAAACAGATCTACATAGAGTCATAGACCATATTCTGACAAATCCTAAATCCTGTAATGTTAGGAGCTACGCACTCTATGAAAATGTTCAGACCTCACAATGTCCTCTTTTTTTTTTTTTTTTTTTCCCCCCCCCCCCAAAACTCCAAAAGCCATGGTTATTCACAATGACAGAATAAACTTCAATAAAGTGCCGAAGATGACCCAATCACGATGTGATATTGGTATATAAAAAAAAAAGATAAAAAAAAAAGATGTGATATTGGTGATTCTATGGAACTGACCCCCAGCATGTCTCCAAAGTACATGGTATTTACTATTCAGATCACCTCAACAGTCAAGAGTCAAGAGTCAAGAGTAAAAACCCACCACTTCTCCCAACGGTCCTACGCTCCTAGGCTCAGTTGATAGTACTTGATACACCTGAGTGCAAATCCAGATGGAACAAGATGAATGAAATCAAATAATTATAATTCTAAATTACCTGGTCCCTGCCTATACCTTTCTAGGCCTTTTGGCTAAAAGTAGATCAAGAGAACAGTATCTGTTCTGAACAGTTTAATATCGGATCCGTGGTCCATGGGGCCACAACGATATTAAATTAAGTTTTCTGGGCTACAGAGGGGTCATAAGGGCAGGCTTGCCTGCCCGGTCCCTCCAGCGTTGCCTTCGTATTGCACTGCATCGAAGCGTAGCGCAGCCCATCCCGCATTCTGGGGAATAAATAAAATAAAATAAAATAAAATAAAATAAAATAAAATAATAATAATAATAATAATAATAAAACTAGGCCCGGTCAGTTCGACAATGATAACTCAACGGCGTTTCCCTTTTTTTCAAAAAGAAAAGAAGTGAAAGAAAAAGCCCACTGCTTCTTGCTGGTACTTGGTCATCACCATATGCAGTGACGAGCAGGGTTGCCGGCGTTCGGGACGGGCTGAACGCCCGAGCCCGAACGCCCAAACGTACGGGAACCCTTCGGAAGGCGTTCGGCCGTTCGGCCGTTCGGGCCGAATGCGGACCAAAAAAAAAAAAAAAAAAAAAAAAGTTTTCAAAAAATTCCAAACAAAAAATATGTTATGGAGAAAAATAAACTAAGTCTAAACAACATTTGCCTGGACACTACATCCAAATTCGTTACCAAATTTGAATTAAAAATCAAATACCGAAAATAAACACTATGATAAAAATAAGAAAAAATAAAAAGAGAATTAAAATGAGTGAGTGTGCCAGCACCTTTTCCGGAGTTTTCCTACTGTCCAAATTCTTGCTATTCGGGACATCATCACCAACGACAACTTTTACGGAGTTTTCCTACTGTCCAAGCTTTGGAAGTGTTCGATCACTCGATTGTTCTGTCACTAGGTAGGTAGGGGAGATGGGCGACAACTTCGTACCGTACGGTCCGTGCTACCACTGTGGGCACCATGGGCATTTTCGACGCAATTGCCCGCTGTTAGCTAGAGGTGAGGGTTTGATCTCGGGTAGGCCTGTTGGGAACCAGATGTACAATTATGGGCACGCCAACAGCTATCATCGTCCTACACCTTCTGCTCCACCACTAGCCCTGTTACCCCCCCCCTCCTCCACCAACACTAATCCGGTTTTGCCTCAATCCCAGGCCCTTGCTCCCCAAGCATGATCTCCATCAGGCATATGTTCCCTGATGATACCTTCACTGGCGGAAGGTTGAAACGCGGCGTAGGGACGCTGCCAGAGGGCTCTACGATATTACTGTTTAATTTTTTCCAAAAGAGCTCGTGCCTGATTTTCGTTGTCATCATGCTTTCTTCTGTCCTTGTCTCCTCCCATCTCCACTCTCCTTCTTCCCATTTCTCTTTGACCTCATCTATTATCTTGTTGAAGTCGTGTGGTGTTTTCCCATGAGTTTATGGTATGGTGTGAAGATTGGTGCTTCCCTTGGTTTACGATTTTGCGCTCGTGCTTTGCACTGCGCCTGGTTGCTCCGTGTCATCAACGACGCGCTGCATTTTCCACTCCAGCACCTTTTCGACACCGCCATCTTTGCCGATTTTTAATTATTTTTTGGCATTGACAAATGTCCTGAAAATTTACAGATATGTATTTTATATAATAAATAACTCATTAAAAAGTTTTCAAAAAATAATAAATTGTTTTAGGCCCCGAAATAAAGTGAAAACAAGAAGTTAAAAGTGAAAAAAAACAGTAGTAGTGAGTAGGCGAGCACGTTTTGACACCCCCATCTTTGACGATTTTTAATGTTTTTTTTGGCTTAGCGGAATGGCTTCAAAATTTATAGGCGTGTAGGCTACATTATAGAAAACTCACAAAAAACAATTCAGAATAAAAAACTTATTTTGAGGCCCCGAAACATTTTTTGGCGGGGGCCGAACCTGGAGGTGTTCGGCCCCCGAACGGGACCCCGAACGCCCAAACGTTCGGGGGCCAGCCCGGGGCCCCCCGAACGTTCGGTCAGGTAACCCTGGTGACGAGTATTAACATTTATCCAAAAGCCAAGTTTGTTGGATGATGGAACCTGACCTTGTCAGCACTGCAGCAGCATAATCTACAATTTCTACTAATCTTTCATCTGTTTCAGGGTATGCCAAAACATGATGGAAAAAAAGAAACAAAAAAAAAAACAAAAAAAAAAACGACGCAACTGCAGCTTTTGCCAAGACAAAACGAACACGTCAGATATGTGGATGTGTCGAGTTACAAACCGTAATGCAAGTCAGACCACGCAAGACGGGATTCCCCCGCATCCTCAAAATCCAACATTTCCATTCCAAAGGAAAAGTAGTGGAAAAAGAAGACTCACAAGGAAAACTCAGCAAATATGAATAGCACAACGCTCAAATGTTCTCAATGATCTGTATAATTCGTTATGGGACGCTGGGCCCGGTTCCCAGCACGTGCTGCGCCCCACGAATAGACTGG